TTTTGCTGACCTCCACCTCACCAAATTTAATGTTGTATGATCCAACAATATCTCTGTTTGATATATACCCTCAAGAAATATACCATATGATCCAGCAGTCCCTCTACTTAGTATATATCCTCAAGAAATGAGAGCCATGATGTGAATAGATATATGTACAATCATGTTTATTGCAGCATCTACCAGGTTTATTCACAAAAAATGGAGACCGATTAAATGTCCATTAATGGACAAATGGATAGACAAACTTTGGTATATGCACACAGTGGAATTCAACACAATGTTGAAGAATAACAATGCATTGATGAAACACCTTTTAACAAGGATGAACCTACAGGACATTATGCTGAGTGAAATTTTGTATTAGACCACTATTGCAAAACTAATGTGGCACTGTAGGATAAGCATTGGACTGTGAACCACAAGGCTAACTTTTCAAACCCACCAGCTGCTCCTAGGAAACCCTGTACAGGGTCACTATGAGTCAGAATTGACTACAACAGTGACTTTTGCAAAAAGTCAAGAAAAGGTTTTCATACGAAAGGAAATATTCTTTGATAATTACCAGGAGTGGGAAGGGGAAGGGGAGTAGTCACTGGCTAGAGGGTAGACACATTAACTTTGCTGATGTTAAAAATAAATTTTAAAACTAAATCCTAATGTTAAAAGTAAAACATTATAATTCTGTACCAGGAATGTGAGCTCTATAAGAAAGGATGTGAAGGAAGGAAGGGCTCTACTCTAGCTCCAGATTCACAACTTAGTTATAACTGTTTATTAGAAGAATACCTGTGCATGTTAACTACTGCATAAGAATTTCAAGGTGAGGAATTCCCAGATTTGGCTGCTGCGAAAAAGAGTAATCCTTCTAAAACTGCAAAATAATGAAGCTCACGTGTTCTATTGATTTCTGGTTTGGGGAAACCACTTTGTTTTGAAGTAAGGTATTGTGATAGTTAAGGTTTTGTGTCGACTTGACTGGGCCATGGTTCTCTTTCATGTTGAGATATAGTTATCCCTCCATCATTCAAATGTAGGTTTGAATGATGAGATCTATTATAATATGATCAGCTCTATGAGAAGATCGGCTATGAACAGCCAATCAATTCATAGGAAGCTTCCTCAGGGTTGTGATCTGCTTCCAATAAATTAGACAGTCAGGCAAAGATTGCTTATTTTCATCAGGATCTGGATCTTACATCTGGCTCATCCTCTGACCTCTGGTTTTTTGGACTGGAGCCAGTGGTCTGCTCTACTTCCTGTTGATCCTGGGAGTCATCAGAAGGCCAGGATTCCAGATGGAGCATATTGCTGTTGTTAAGTGCAATTTAGTCGGTTACGACTCACAGCAACCCTGTATTGGATTTCCAAGGAGCAGCTGCCAACCTTGTAGTTCAGATAACCTTGTGGTCCAGGGTTTATCCTACAGCACCACACTGGGAATCCATATGGAGCATTCCTACTGTTAGACTCAAAGGAATTTGGTTCCATTTGGCTGAGTGATTTTTGTCCATTGTTCCCTTATGATCACTGAATGTGAAAACTATTCAACTCAGTTCTTGTGTTTTATTGAGATCACTTAAAACTCTGTACCATGGTTTGTCTATGGGTCTGTTGTTGTTGTTAGTGTTAAGTGCCCTAGAGTCCAACCCATAGTGACCAAAAAGAAAAAGAATAGAGATGAGTGAATGAAAAGGGTTGATGAAGATGGATGTTAACATTAATGAGTTGGGGTGGTGGGGAAGAGTTTGATCCTAACATAAATGACACTTTGCAACTAAAAGCACAGTTTCAATATCTTTATACCAGAAAATGTATTAAATGATTTTAATAACAAAAACAACATATGTTCTTCAGACAAGTAATGCATTATATTTGCTGATGGTACAATGAGCTATTTTCATAATTCAGAAATTAATAACCCCTTAAATATCTATGATCTGAGAAGAAGAAACCAAGCTGTTGTGACTACCACCAGAAAAAGAGCCTGTGGTACTCTTCCTACTCTGGTTCCTAGCCTGAGATAATGAATCTTTCAGGACATTTCTCAAGACAGTCTTAGTGTCCTCAGCAACGATCTCAAGGACACGTTTCTGTTTCCTTCGTCTAACACTTTGGACAACCCAATTATGTAAGGGTGGGATGCATCTGGGCAAACAGAGGCATGCCTTCATAAATCTAGAAGTCATGAATTTCAGTTTCCAGTCCCCTCTGACAAGAGCTGGTAGGTCTCGGGACTTCATGATAGCAGTGTATTCCAATGATTCTTTGCCCATGCTCTGTACAACCTGCCGGAGAGATCCATCATGCACACCAAAGGACAACCGGTAAACATTCAGAGACTCTGTCAAATCATCAGCACTCTGAATATTAGGGAAAGAGTTTGTGGCTATTTCCTTCTGAAAGTAGGCCACTTTATCATTAATGATCTTCTCAAAGTTATACAACAGGGTTTGTAAGGGGCCATGGCACCTAAT